TTCTATTCTACCAATCTGTTTTATTATTAGAAAATTAGACCACAAAACTAAAACCTCTCTAATACTAATTTAAGATGCTTTAAATTTTACTCTTATTTTTATAAACTCAATTTTTTAATTAGATGTATTGACTACACTGCTAAAATAAGATCTAAACCTTGATTCTTATGTATTTATCAAATAAAACCTATCGTCTGATAATTTATTATAGGATATATCTATGATCACTTTGACTTATATTATAATATTGATTAGGAATATTTCCAAATAAATTTCGAGTTCATGCTTTGTAGAAACTCTATTTTATTTATTGATTAGTTTTCTTATCAATAAATATACTATTCGTCCCATATCATTCAGCAATTAAGTAAAAGTATTTTCATCTGTTAAATTTTAGCTTGATCATTTGTATTTCTATCAAAAAGAAGAGTTATTCCTCAAATATCAATTTCAATACAAGTAATATTCTTATGAAATCTAAGTCTCCTCTTATCCTCCAGATCTAATTTCTAAAATAATTTCTTATTACCTAGGCTGTTGATTTGCTATTATTTTAAACCTCATCCCAAGCTCTGATAAAAAAAAAATAATTGGCATATTTAGTAAATGAAGGATTTGACTCAACATAAACAAATAATTCATTAATCTTATAAGCTATTTAAGAGATAAGGAAGGAAAAAAAGCCAGTCCAAAAAATAATAATTGAGTTAGAATTAATGAGTCCAATACAATTAAATATTTTAGAATGAAGTAAAAAAACATGATTGGTATTTAAATAGTTCTAATCCTCATTTTTTAAGTTTGAACTAAAAATTATGATCTTTCTTGAATATAATTTCAAAATAATTTAATAGTATTAAATCACTGAGATAAATAATTATATTAATAATAAATATAAATATTTATTTAAAAATGATACGATAAAAAATGATAGAAAAAGAAGAAGAACTTGTTTGTTCAATGAATCATAAACTTCCAATTTATATGGTTGTTTGTGATAAAAGTATAGATAAGAATAAAAGACTATTATGCAATGAATGTATGGATAATTTAGAATCTAATCTAAATAATGTAATGAGTTTTAAAAAGGTTGCTTTATTAATTG